TGTTACTGGGCCCCCAGCTTCCCCTCAATGGTGGCTGGCTCCAACTTGTAGCTTCAGAGGATGTAGGAGCCAGGTGGTCAGGGTTCGGGGCTCCCTCCCAGACAGTCGAGTTGAGCTAGGCCACCTGAGTGCACAGCTGACATGGTGGGCACTGCTGGGCATTGCTGGGCTCCGGAATCCTTGCCCAGTCCCCACTACTCAGGAAAGTTCTCTCTGGAGGAATAAACTGTTAGCTCCGAATTTAAATGGCCTCATTCCTCAGCAAGCACATAGGATCACTACCAACCCTCCTCGTGTTATACTTTTCACATCAGAAAACATTTTAGGATGGAGGCTGGCTCTGAAAAGGAAGTGCTCTAAGCTGTGTGGCACCATAGAGCTCTGGCCTTTGCTGAGCAAGCGTGGGAGCCCTGAGTGGGCTGAGCTGACTTGCAGGCAGGTGTAGAGAGGCAAAGGCCCAGGCAGGGACTGGCCCAGGCAGCAGCTCGCCTGGAAATGCTAACAAGAGGAGGACGCTGAGTGAGAGTGTCACTGCACAGGAAGCATCTTGCCTACAGAGGCCACACTCTGGGAGTGGGCTAGGCAGGGACACGAGACAGGATCTAAGTCAAAACACGCAAACAGTGTCTCCCTAGGTGAGAAAACTGCAGACACTGCAGGCCACCAGGTGGGGTCCAGAGTTGGCTGGGGTGTCTGGTGGGTGTCCTCCTGCACAGAAGAGATGCTTCTTGGGCACAGGGCCCTGGCTTCTTTGCACAACCACCCACTGCTGTAGGGTGCTACAGCCTCCAGCATCCCCTTTAACCATCCTCCTCCTCTCTCTTCTGGCCCACGCGACAACATTCATATCCTCTGTGACTGCTCAGTGGTGGGGACAAACTATAGAAAGCCCCATCTGTGAACTCTGAAACCTTCCGGGAGCCATATGCTGCTCAGCCGCAAGTCCGAAAAGGTGCTAAGCCCAATTATCTAATTCTGAAAGTCAGTATCTGTATGTTGAAGAGATCGCCTCTCTAGACTTGGGGAGGGTTCTCCAGCGCACAGGCGCCGGCTCACCCTAACAGCAAGGGCACTGAGACTCATTACTGGTCTGTGTCATCGCAACTACATGGAGAGAGAAACTTGTGACATTGCCAGGTCAGGAACTCCACCCAGGTTCCAATTCTGTGGCTCTAATTGTCCCAGGAAAGTCATTTCTGCAAAACCTTTACAGAGCATTAGAGAACATTGGAGAGGCCCCTGACCTCTGCATTTGGGTGGAAGGATATGTATTATATATCTTAAGGGATTTAAGAGACACCCAAATCACATGTAGGGAAGCATGTGGTGTGGAATTCAGAGAAGAAATTCTCATGATTTTGTGGTCCTTGGAGTTGGAAATGAATGGCAGATTCAGAAAGAGTTCAGATTACTGGATGGAGGGTTGTCTGAGCTATTTGTAGGGGCTGGTTAGGGAGAAATGTGATTCGATGTAAAGAAGGGTGAAAAAGGATGAAAAAATGCAAACACATAGGGCATGGTTACAGGATTAAAATTTGATCCCCCAAAAGAGTACCCCTTAATAACATGTTGAAAACACACAAGTAGAAACACACACACACACACACACACACAAAGATTGGTTCAAGTGATTGTTACAACAAGCTTGAATGTTAAATTCTTCCTTATCTTGTGTAGAGGTTGTCTGCCTCTGCTTGATCCATAGGGCTCTGGTTTTCCTTCTGGGCATTTTCTGATGAGCCTCATTTTGCAGTCATTCCTGTAATTGGATCTGTTGGTCTGGGTTTGTAGCCTATTTCCCCTGTGGCTCAGAATTGGACTCTCCTAGCTGTTGTCAGTGGGAGGAGCGACCCCTCTCGGTGGGGTCAAACGAATTCCTGCCTGGCTTCTGGGTTCTAGGAGTACCATGATGGGTGGCAAGAACAAGAGCTTTATGAAGGGTGACAAAGAGGGAGCCAAGAAGAAAGTGATTGATCTATTTCCTAAGAAAGATTGGTATGATGGGAAAGCACCTGTGATGTTTAGTATCAAAGATACTGGGAAACACTCGTCACCGGGACTCAAGGGGCGCAAACTGCATCCAACCTTTGTCATTTCTGGAAAAAAAAAGAGCTGTTCGCATATAACGGCAAACATCCGAACTGACTGAAAGACTGGCTGGGAGGTTGGACTTCGGCATTATTAACTCAAGTTTCTGCTAAACAATCCTGCAGTTGCCTATCATCTACAAAACAGGATGTAGGCTCTGTTGTTCATGAAAAATGAACATCAGAAAAAAGTCTAGACAAACAATAGAGAACTAGAGTTGTCTGGGAGTAACCAGGCTCACACGGCAGCCGGGAACTACAGTCTGTGGGAAGCAAGCGCGGGGGAGGGAAACCTGCAATGAATGAGGTTGCCTCCACCCTTGCCTGAGAGCTGAGGAGGGCCTGAGCTTGGACTGGGGGTGGGGGCTGAGGTGGGCTGCAGGCTGCCATGTGCACCGTGCTGTTTGTTCTCTGTTTCCTTCCCTGACACACCCAGAGAAGAGTTGGCAGAGTCAAATCTCCCCAGTGCTGAGGGGCTTCCTAAAAAGGAGGGCTTCTTCCACCTTGTGAGCAGTATGGAGTTCAGGACTGTGGCTCTCAGTAGCTGTGTCCAGCAGAGGTCACCAGCAGGGACCAGATCAGCTCTGGGACAGAAATGGTTTGGATCAAGATGGTAGAAGCGGGCATAGAGAGAGACAAGTGGAGTTTGGATGTTTTAAAGTCCTCGTTGGTCCGTTCTCAGATGGGGCTATGGTGCACAAGTAGAGGTGGCACAGCCCCTCTTGCCTGGTAGCCCAGACCAGTGTGCAGTTCTCCAGGGAGCTGGGCCACTGGAGGGCCATTCCTTCATAGGCCTAGAAGGCATCTCTTCTCCTTCCAGCCCAAGACTAAGTGTCAGGGCTAGTCTAGCACACCCGGAAAGGTCAGACGCACCAAGTAGGAGGAGATCAGAGCCAGGCCAGGAGCCTGTGGGCTCAACCCACCCCCACTCAGAGAGGAGCAGGCTTGGCTTTCAGGGCCCCTCACCCCACCCCTGGGAGAAAGCAAGAGCCTTAAGGATAGAAAAGATGCAAGCAAGCCTCAAGTTGGCTCTGCTGCTCCAGACCCTCAAATTTAAAAGAGAGAGAGAGAGAGAGAGAGAGAGAGAGAGAGGAAGGAAGGAAGGAAGGGAAAAAGAAAGAATTAAAAATAAAAAGAAAGCAAGACAGAGACAGGCAGGCTTCTCTTAGCAGTGTGTCTTGCAGACCCTTGGCAACAGATGAAAGAGACCCTGGAGAGGCTGCCTCACACTCACTCAGGACCCCTCCTGGCCCAGTCTAGCCCCTGTCCTCAGCTGGGACAGCCCCAGCAACCCTTCCCGATGATGCCTTGAACCAGGACAGCACAGGTCAGGACTAAGCGCCTGTCTAGAGACTAAGCGCCCTCTCCTCAGAAACCAACAGGGCACCAGCTTCCATCTTTGGTGTGAGTCTCACACACTGCCAAGCCCCTATATAAATGGTCTTGTTAACCTTCCAGACACTGAGGATGTTGCTGCCCCATTTCCTAGAAGTGGAAACGAATACCTAAAGAGCTTCCAATGTCACCTAGGTCACACGCACAGCCACTATCGCCAAAAGATGTCAGAATGGACCTCGCTTGCTAATCATTCACCCTGGAACTGAAGTACGGACCTTGTCTTAAAGACATACCGCTTCCGCCTGCCCAACACTGATACCCTTTGTCCTAGAGGGTCCCTCCTCTGGAGTAGAGCTTAAGTAGGGGTTTGCGTGTGATGTGTGGGGGCAGGGATCTCAGGGAGCCAATCCAGCAGGTCTCACAGAGTGCACTGCTCCATCCAGTGTGGCCCTTCAAAGGCCCATGTGGGAACATGTCCATCTGAGAGGCAGAAGAAGAAAGGCGCTGTCCATAGGTTCCCAGGAGTCAGAGGTGGCCCCAGGGTTAGCGATGCCCTCAACCCTCCAGGGTGCACTTGCTGGAGCTGCAGGTGCAGAGGCAGCAGGTTAGGGGACCTGCTCCTCTCCTCACTGTCTGCCCCTCCACATAGATCCTCCATCCTCACCTGGGCTGGCTTGAACTCCACCACTTACCAGCTGGTGGCCTTGGGCAAGCTGCGACATGCGTACCCAACAAGCACAACGTGGTGGGGACAGTCTGGTGCTCTAGTGCATGAAGTATTCAGAAAAGTAGGCCTATCCCCCGTGTACCTCTGTGGCTTCAATCTCCCCTTCCTGTAAGGACACCCACAATGAAGGGAGGGTCCAGTCTGAACTCAGGATGATCTCACCATCACCTGGGTGGATGATATTCCAGGTAGATATAATTCTTTTTCCTGGAAAAGGGGGGAGGCATCATTCAACCCACTAGATCCACTTTGTTCCCTGAGGGGAGGGTCAGCCCCTGCTGGAGTCCTGACCTGTGCTTTCCTGGTTCAAGGCATCATCGAGCCACCCACCCACCTGTTTTCAGAAATGCAGGGAAGGCGCTCACACACAGGTGTGTCTTAGCGCATGCTATGCAGTGGCTATGTCCAACAGCAGTGGCTTATCTGAACCCAGGCCACAGACACTGAGAAGCAGAAGCGCAGATGCCTGCTGCTCCCAGAACCCCAGCAGGTTGGCTAAGTCCAGTGCTAGACGGGCTGCAGGGCCGAGGTCAGTTTCAAGCAGGCCTGAAAGGTACTACCTGTCATGTTTCCACACTTAACGCTTCTCCATAGATGACCAGGGTTAGAGAGTGATAGAGGAGCACAACCTTACCCCTGGAAACATGGGGTCTACCACCACCTTCCTCCGGCGCTGGCTCTGTGACTGCTGAGAGCCTGCCCTGTGGTCAGGTCTGTGCTGGCTCCTGGTCTCTACCTCAGTGTGCAGGGGGCCCTTTGTACTGGGGGTGGCAAGCAGGGCTGGTAAATGTGTGGCCTGGGCGGACTTCCTGGTGACGTGAGCCCACTTCCCTCTTGTGTCTTGGCAGAGCTTGTTGAGTGAACAGGAAGTGCTGAGCAGCAGAGAGAGCACCTGCCATCTCTAACCCGGAGATAGTGGATGTCTAAGACCCACAGTTCTCGCTCCTGGAAGAGGCAGAAACTTTTCTCTTCCCGATACCGGTTAAAAAAAGAAATGAATGCCTCCCAGCAACAGCCATCAGCATTCGGTACAGCACCAAAACCAGTGGTGTTTTCACCAAAGTGGCAATTTGGTGAGAAAGATACCATCTTTCTTGCCAAGGACTTTAACTTCCTTTCCTTGAACCAACAACAGCCAGCAGGGAACAAGATATTCCAGGTGGCAAAGGTAAGCCCACTGGAGGCATGGTCGGGAAGGGAGAAGGGGGCTACTGGGCAGGCCCTCTACAGCTGCCCCAAGCCCACCGCACAGACAGGGTTGGCCATGGCCCCCAAGTACCAGGAACATCCACAGCCGCTCAGTGGGGCTGGAGCTGCTGGGCTTGGCTACTGCCTGGTGTGTTGAGGTCTCCTTCCTGGAGACTTACCCCCTCCCCACCTAGCCCCCTCCCAACTGCCACATCTGTCACCTCTGTTGACCCTGCCCCACCCAGCTCACAGGCCCAGGCCCAGTGCCTCTGCCCTCTGCCCAGCCCTGCAGCTCTCTCAGTCCCCTCCTTCCTTAGTCCTCAGCATCCCGCTCTGGGAGGTACTGCTGCTTCTGTAAGGACAAGTCCTTCCACTGTTGGCAGAATGAGGCCTCAGTTTGAATAGAACCCAGGGCCCCACCAGAGGCTTGTGTATGTGCCCCTCACACCTCGTCTGCAACTCCCCGTCAATAGCTACAGAAAATTCGGCCACAGATTCCCCACAGCGGTAGGAACCCAATAGAGGCCAAGATAGTAACTTCTGTCCTACCTTCTGCAGGGTTCAGAAAACAAGCTGTTCAGCCAGTATGAAGAGAAGGTGCGCCCCTGCATCAACCTCATTGACTCCCTGCGGACCCTGGGTGTGGAGCAGGACCTAGCCCTGCCCGCCATCGCCGTCATCGGGGACCAAAGCTCCGGCAAAAGCTCCGTGCTGGAAGCTCTGTCAGGAGTGGCCCTGCCCAGGGGCAGTGGTAAGCACCTAGGGCCCACTTCACTATGAAGCCAGCTACAGGGGCCTGTGACCCTCAGAGCATCCTTGGGCTCCATGTGGCTGTTGGGAAGACCCCGGGAGGCAGCTCTCACAGGCCTGAGCCCTGCAGTTCGCGTGCATGATCCGATTCTCTATCCATGTTTACCTAGCTGTCACTACCCTCAGGGACCTTGCTCTTTCCTTCTAGGGGGTCTTTGTAAAGATGTGGAAGCATTTCATACATGCAAGCCCCAAACCTCAATAGAATAGAGGAAAGGAAGAGAAGGGATTGCAGTACGACCCCACTCCATGTAGGGGTGTTTTCTCTTCTCCCTCTCTGTCTCTGGGAAGTGCACATGCCCTCTGGGAAATTAAAATTAAAAGAGAAAAGAAGAAGAAAGAAAAAGAATTTTCCCAACACTTTGAGAAGCTGTTAGCCCAGATCGTGGTGCCCCAGGACACAACCTTTTCCTTGAAAAGACTTCACCGTGTGTGTAGAGTGAAGAAGCTACTATGCATTTATAATTTAGTAATGATCATGGAAAAAAGAAGGAAAAGGTGGGTGTGAGGACACTGTTAAGAAGAGAGACAGGCAGGAGGGGGAGCTGTGTCCAGAACCCTGAGAGGAAGGAAACAGTCTGCCGGGCTGCACCCCTCCCCTGGCCTACAGCAGCTGACAGCAGAGAGCGTCCTACCCCCCTTCACTCCTGTCAGCTCTGCCTGTCACAGAACCAGACCCAGGGCTCAACGGCAGGGATGCCGGGTGTGCTGGGATCCTGCAGAGTCCCCAACAGCAAGGTTGAGATCCCCAGCCTACAGTTCCTTTCCTGGCCCCAGGACCAGCCCAGGCACCTGAGGCAGGAAGGAGAAAGAATCTAGGGTGGTTATTCCTTCCCTGGGCTCAGGACTCAGCATTTTGGGGAGAAAAACAATAGGGTGGAGGGTCTGGATGCCAGCAGGCAGGATGTAACTGTAGGCATGTGGCTAGACTGGCAAATGGAGGTCCTATCTTCCCTGGGGCAAAGGGGACAAAGGATGTGGGGATTCAGGGCTTCCCAGAAGGGAGTGTGGCTGAGCACCCCAGCCCTACAAAGCTCCTACAGCACCAGCCGTTCCCACTCCCACAGCTGGGGTGGCCCCCACCTCAACTTGCACCTTTGGGATTTGCTCTGACCCCCTGTTTAGAAATGTCAGCTTCTCCCCAGGTTCTTGATGGCTTCTCCTGTAACTTTCGATCCTGAGTGTGGCGTGCGGGCGCTTGAAAGGGGCTGGATAGCCTTGAGTGGGTCTCACTGCCTCTCATTACTCCAGACCCCCTCCCTGGGCTGCCCACCAGGACAAATCAGGGCCAGAGGCAGATGCCCTAGGGAGTCTGGGAGCTGCCCTAAAGCCCCAGCATCCACTTGCATCACTTACAGCAGAGTGGTGGGACAGTGGCTATGCCAGGGTACTGCCCAGGGACCACCCAAGCCCAGGGTGGCTGCAGACACTTCCTGAGGACAGTGTGCATCTCGAGCCTCATGCTCCTGTGCACCTGCTTGGTCCAAACCCCTCTT